GAGAGAGAGAGAGAGAGAGAGAGAGAGAGAGAGAGAGAGAGAAAGAAAGAGAGAGAGAGAGAGAGTGAGAGAGAGAGAGAAGAAAGATTGTGTTAGAGGGAAAAATGGGAGTGGTGTGAAATGAAAGGTGATTGTTCAGAGCCGGAACGAGATAGGTAAAATATATTATATTACATTACAATATATTTTCCCAGGACCGAATCGCATAAAATAACAGCTGCGCGTACACAGGGGTAACGGAACAATGGATAAATGGCGTCTGGAAGACGGCGGCAGCTCGAAGAAACACGTTACCATCGGTTATATTCGACGAGCCAACGCTCGACTGTAGGTGAAATCGTCGAAATATTTCATTCGAAAACTATTATTGTGCCACCGAATGTTGCCGAAATAATATTCGAATGTTATATTCGATCACCGCGACCGTCGCGTCCGACCACCGTCCTACGGCGGGTGAGGCGAACCGTAACGTTCCGATCCCCCCCCCCCCCCCCGAACACAGGCTACCCGAGGCTGCGGCAGCTGCAAACTGTTTCTCGAATCGATATCGCCACGGGGCATGCGCACGTACGTCGCATACGGCAAGCCCGTCGTCCGGCAACGGCGGCTGCGCGTGAGCGTCCGTCGTGGGAATGGCGGGGGACGGGCGACGAGTATTGACCGGCGCGCGCGTCCGCGACGGGGAATGAACAAGCAAACAGTCGACCGGGAACAAAGAAGATAAGGGTATGGGATGTAGAGTGTAATCATCACTTTTCGGTTCACGGTTACTTTTCGGACGTTTTGGGATTCCAATCGATAATAACACTGTCCGTGCGGCATTTTAACATCCCCCCCCCCCACCCCGTCAAATAAAATCCATAATGAAATACGGCCTTCTTGTCGGTCTTAAAATATTTACCGCCCAATTCAAATTATGTTATACAGTTATGGTATTATTGATTACTAAAATTATTCTTTTTCAGATCAAAAGCAATTTATATATCTATTATCTGTACAATTTGCAATTGAATACAAATTATGTAGGCATATAATTATATGTAATTTCATGTATATTATGTAATTAAACATATATTCATATTGTAATATTATTATATTGAATTAATATAATAATTAACATTATTACTAATTGACATAACGTTTAATTTCATATAATTATATACAGTGTTCGACTTGAAAGGGGTCGCAAGGGGACGGAGTACCACAACTAATTTTCAGAAATGTTAGCGTCCTCCTACTATTATTACGTTTTAATTATAACGCTTAACGAGTATGGGGCACGCTCTTTTTTTAAAGCAAACAGAGTTTCCCTACTTTAATTTTGCCAAGTCGAGCACTGATTATATACCTACATAGCTTGTATAAATAGATTATAAATATTTTTAATATTGATTGCTTTTAATTTGAATTGAGCGCCAAATATTTTAGACCAACGAGAAGGTCGTATTTCCCTATGCGTTTTATTTGGTTTGCTTAATGCCTCCAGGCAGGTGACTGATAATACAATAGTACGTAGGATATTATTGTTATCATATTGTTTTGTGTAGTCGTTTGATCATAAACAAAGTGTAGGTCGGAAAAACGGCGACGAAGAATGTGTTATAACTGTTAGGTCGCCAACGCAAAAATCGAGTATAAGTGAGCGTGGATCGGGCTAAAAAAAAAAATCGCTGAGGATGATAGTTCGTGCGTGTTGAGTCGTGTACCGGTGAACGATTATGTCGTGACAAAATGGCGTCCGCGGGACGTACGTCACTCGCTTGCCTCTAAACGCGTCAACGGATTACGACGAAGACGCAGTCACGAAATGCTTCATCGATCTGCGAAATCGTGACAACTTCGCATCGTTAACGAAACTCTGATTTTCTCTTCCAGGCGCCCGCGATTATTACGGTCCGTCCGCGTAATAGTGCGCGTAGTGGTGGTTCCACTTGAGATCGGCTGCGTTTGTCCATTGTGGCATTAGTCGCCATTTTCTCACCGAAACTCATCGTTCCGTCCTTCTTCGCAGTATTTAACTGGTGATTGTGTCCTAGACATTTTCGCGTCGCATCTTCGTTCACATGTACGTTCAATCGTAAGATCGGTTGAACTCAAAACCGTTGGCGTTGCACGTAATTTGACGAGTCGACCAATTCTCACGTCATGTCGGAAATAAACGAGTCGGCATATGGACAACTGCCGTCTACTTCCGCAGCACCCGGACTAATCGAATGTGATGAAATTTCGTGAGTTAAATTTTCAGCCATCGCCGCTCACCCGTCACAATATTGCAAATTTCGAAAATTCTTTGTTTTATTTTTCAGAAACACTGAGAACTTCGACTACTCATTGGAAAGCCTCAGCAAGTTATCCAGAGTAGAAATGATGGACCGGATAAAGTTGGAGTCATTGTCACTGCACAGATGCGAATCGAAAATCGAAGTGAGTTTGCACAACCATTACTCAACTGCTAGATAGTTAAAATTGTATCGAATTACATATTTTGTTGTTAAAGAAAGAGCTTATTGTTAAAGAAGACGAAATGGAAATGATCAAAATTCTGTCAAATCGCATTAACGATTTATATGAAATATTGTTTAAAACATATGAGATTGATGTAAATGTAGTTTCTGATTACATTAAATTTGGATCAAGTAATGTAAGTTAACACTATATAATATTACTCTAGATTAAGTTTTTATTTATTTTTATTCAAAATATTTTTTTATTTATTTATATATTAATTTGTGAGTATTAATAATTTAATTTTTTAATATTTATTTAATTTTTTTATTTTATTAACATTACCACATAGTTATAATTTTTTTTTCAAGTATTTTCATCTGTTTTATTTGGCTAGTCGTTTTATCAAGTACAAAACAAGTTCAGTCTAGCAATACTTCATTCTGTATTATATTACTATTTTTTAACATTTCTATTGGATTGATTTATGTAAATATTCTTCTCGTTTTTATTGAAGATCACAATTTTATAACATATTTTTTACCATTGAGACAACTTAGACCTTGAAAAAAGTATTTCATCTATTAAGAGATAGTTCTATGAATATTCTGCCCCGTGAATGATAAATATGTGAGTGTTAATTTCAGTGAAGTTGATCTTAGGGGGGTATGGTGTAAAACAGATGTAAGAATTGCTGCCGAATTGTTGTACTGGGTCATATAAATAATAGGTTTTTTTATTTTGTTTTATTTTATATTAAAAAAAATATATACATTTATTATTTTCATGGTACTTAATAATCTTTAAAATATGAATAGAAAAAAGAATTCTTAAATCCTGAAATTGTACCTACACTTATTTTGAATTAAATATTATAAAATCCTATGTTTATTTAGTGAAATATTTTCAAAGTTATCTAACTGTCTATTTTTGTATAAACAATTCTAATATGATTTCAGAAAGTAATAACTTCTAAATTCAGAAATGAATTAAATGAATTAATGGAATCGTTTCGTGTTGATCCTGAAGTTTACATAAGTGGAGCAAGTTATATATTCAACGATTGCAATGATATAATATCTGCTAGACGATATTTAACTAATGGAATAAACTTTCATAAAAGCTATCAAAGATTATTTTTAAAAGAAATTGAAATTGAATTAAAATATTTTAATTCCACAGAAGGTGCTTCTTTTGAAGTGGTCTTGAATAAATACAATAATCTGATTACGCGTTTTAAGAATGACCTTAATTTACATTTGACTTTGGTGGAAAATGTCTTTAGTTATAGTGTGGTTGGAAAATTACATAGTATTGTAATCAGGTATTAACTGAATATTTATATTTATTGATATGATGATTTTTTTAAAATAAATTGTTTAGAGACATGTTGAATAAATACAAGCTTAAAGAGAAAATGTGGCAGAAATTAGCTAAATTGTATTGGAAAGGTTTTAATTATCACTTTGAATCAGAACACATAGATATCTGCGAAGATAAATTAACATGCATTAAGTAAGCAATTATTAAAAAATTGTATTGTTTGGAACTAACATAACTTTTTAGGAAGTGTATTTCTATTTATGAGAATACCTTGGAGAAAAATTTATTTCCCGACAACCAACAAATTTTATGGAATTATTTTTTGGATATGATTATTGAAATAAGTGATGACTCCAACATGCAAGATAAAACCATCAATGATTTTATGATGAAGACAATTAATGATACATTCCATCTAGCTTTTAAAAATAAGACAATGATCCTATCTAAATATTTTATTTTTTGGGTAAAGTTGTATTTTGTCTTTAAATTATGTTTTATTTAAATAAACATTTATTAATCCATTTTTATAGGCTGATCATACTGATGAAGACACTGAATTGAATATACTGCAAACATCTGTACAATTGATAAGACAAGACAAAGAACTTTGGTTAAAACTGTTAAGATCTTTGCTCTATCGTGATTTATATTTAAATGCTTGGGAAGTTTTTCAAGAGGCCATTCATATATTAAAAAATGATGGAATCCAATTATGGCAAATAATGGAATTATATTTATTAAATACTGATGACGAAAAGGTATGTTATTATTAATATTTATTACATTATATTTGGTTATTTAAAAACTATACATTTTTGGAATTATCCTGGGTCTTTAAATATTTTTTATTAAATAATTCTTACAATGAGACAACCTAAACAATAAAATGTTTAAACTCCCAAGTACTAAGAATTCATCTTACTTTTAAGTAGCCTTGATACATTTTATATTTGTATTTTATTAAGGGTGTGATAATAAACAGTTCTCTTCTCTGCACACTTAATAATAATTTCATAGTCTGTGAGATTATCACCTCATTTTCAATTGTCCCATGCTATCAACTCAGTGTGCCAATTTAATGATCTCATGAATCTCATCTTCAATGAGCTCATCTTATATTATCTCCAGTATACCTTATATGTTATTAACCCAACAAAAAAATTTAATATTTTCTTTACTTCTTATTTTTAACCAAACAGACATTTTAATTTATTTTTTTGTATTACTATTATAATTGTCGATATTAATAGTTTAATAAAATGTCAAGAAAAAAAAAAAAAGAAAAAAGGAAGTGCAATAAATTATATTAAATTTGAAAGCTATGACAAACTTATGAAATTCTTCTAAATAGTTTCTAGAAAATATCTTAAATATTTATAATTATTTATAATAAAAATAAATAAATCAAAATCATGATTTTTTTTTACTTTGTATATTCCCCATGATGATTTTTAATTCTAAACCGTTCAGTACGAATGTAAAGCACTTACAAATATAATAATACTCGGTTAAATATTAAACTATTATTATTTTAAAAGTGAAATAAGTTATATATTTTTATATTGTTTTATAATTTACAAGTATTTCACAAGTGATAAATTACTTTAAAAAGTTTAAGTTTTGATTTTTTAACGTTAATTTTATTATTATTATAAAATATCATAATTATTTTTTATAAATAGAATGAGATATAGTTATTCTATTTAATGGTATAACTTGGATTCTTGTCTCTAGCAGATAGAAGAGTTGAAGCTAATGTGGGATTTTTGCACAAGCTGCTTGATAGATGTATGGATGCTCCCTCTCTTATTTCTCTAATAAATTTTAAAGTTCTTTCTAACCCAAACAAGTCTAAATCTTCATTTATTGTTCTATTCCACAACACCAACTATGGTAAAAATAATTCCACTCACCATATGATTGATATGTATCAGTAATTAGCACCTAAACTTAATATACTTTATTTATAGTAGTACTACAATCTATTTATTACCATTCTTAATTTTTTTAATTACCATTTGTTTATTGATTCATTCCAGTGCTCGACTTGAGGGGGGATGCAGGGGGATGGAGTACCTCAATTCATTTTCAGAAATTTTAGCGTTCCCCTACGTTATTATTGATCAGCATCTTATTGCTCAGCCAGTTTTGGGGATTTTCTTTTTTTAAAGTAAATAGAGTCCCCCTTCTTTAATTTTGCCAAGTCAAGCACTGATCCATTCTACTATTACATAATTAAATTATTATGTTGAATTATTCAAATTCATTTGTTATTATAAATTATAATGTTCTATTAGGCTTCAAGACTGTTAATAAATAAATAATAAATTTAAAAAAAGTTAATTAATTTTAGATTTACAATAATTTATTATTTATTATCTTATTTATTAAATACGCGTGATATTTATATGAAAATCAAGAAATATGCACGTTTTTCTTAAAAATCGATTAACTATGCTAAATATACATTTTTAATTTTTAGTTTTTAAACTCAACATTATATATCTCGAATTTCAAGCTTGGTCTGCTATAAATTGAGAGCATACAGAATAATATGCAACTCCCATAACTTCTGAACCCTATTCATTTTACATAACAGTGATATTGGTCTGTATCTTGAACTACGAATATATTTTGGTTAGGTTTATATGTTGAATATTATATAATATTTTAGTGATTTATGTAAAAAACTTATTTTTATATTTTTTTTTAACGACTAAATTTCACTTATGTAAATTTTAATATTTGTTGAACTATAAAAATGGTATTTTGATTTTTCTGTTGTAGCATTTATAAAATAAACACTTATTTTACTTTTTTGTTTTATCTGTTATAATACATATACACATATGGTACTGGTAGTAGAGTTATTGGCGCCCTGGGCGAATAAATAAATATGTGCCCCTTTTCATATAATTAGTGGTCCTTTTATTTTAAACCGTTATCCAATGATAATAATGTCTAAATTCTAAATAGAGATTACAAACGGCGACTGATATTAGTAATAATTTATTATCTATGTATTAAATTATTATATACCTATTATAACAAATAATAGTCAATAGAATGGATAGAATGTTATAATTATATTCCTATCATTTTTTCAATTTTAACATTATATCATTGAGGCGCCCTTTATCGATAAGCGCCCTGGGTGTAGGCTCAGGTCACCCATCCCTAATGCCGGATCTGTATGCATAGATACTTTTATCGATTGTTCGACCTAATTTTTTGAATGTACAGTTTAACGCTGTTGCCTCTCATCTTTATATAATCATAAATTCAGTTTTACTTTCTTTCTGTGTAAGTTTACTTTAAAATATTACTCAAAACTAAATTTTGCATTGTTTATTCTAGATTATTATTATCATTATATATACTTAAAATAATAAGTTATAAATAGCTTCCTTAATATAACAAATATAAATAACAATTTTCTAAATTATATTTCTTAGTTATTAATAATATTATTGTGAATGCTTTTATTTTCACACACACACACACATATATATATAGTGATTCTATTTAATGTTATTTTTTACTTTAGATGATACAATTTTATGAACTTGCTGCAATAGGGGTTCCTTACAAAGATATTTGTTTGAAATTCCGATCTAAATATTTGGAATGGAGCACTATAAGACTAGATATGAGTTCTACACGCAGAATATTCCAGAAAATTAAAGATTTAGATCCACCATGTAAAACAGTTTATAAAGATATGATAAAAGCTGAATTATACTGCGGAAGTGGACGAAAAAGAGTATTAACTATAAGAAATTTATACAGTGAAGCCTGCAATAAATTTGGTGTTCATGAAATTGGTGAGCAATTATTTATCACAATTATCAGATTATTATAATTAAATTAATATATATATATTAAATTATATTTTTAGATATATGGGTTGATTGTATAAAATTTGAATATATTTATGGTCTTCATTCGTGTGCAGAAATTATTTATCAAGTAGGACTAAAAATGGTAGATCCAAATTTAAAGAATAGCCTAGAACAAGCAAAAAAAGAAATCGATAAAGAATATAAGTTAGTATCTAAGTCTTAAATTTATTTAATTGTTTAAATTCTTTATTTTTTAATTTTAATTTTTTAGGAAGAAGGATAATCAAGTAATAGAAATCTCTGATGATGATGATGATGATGATGATTATTGAATTAATTATAACCTATATAAATAATTATAATTTTATAAACAAGATCCATATATTTGAAATAACTATGACAAAATATTTAATTATTTGTTTACTCATAAAATGATCAAATCATTTTTTCGATCTTAATTTCTGACTACATAAAAATATTTTTAATCAAATTGTAATGTATATTTGGAGAGGGTATGAGGTTAGTTCATTATACCGATCATATTATTGTTCACTAACATTAACTTAATTTAAAGGCATTTAATGAATGATGATCATAATAGGGATTTTTTTTTATTCTTATTAATTAATTCATTAAAATATATTTATATTTATTTATAATTTGGAATTCGTTATGCTACTCTGGTAAAATATAATTATATAAGGGAATTTAAGTTTTTCTATAGTGTTCGTATTTATACAATTTTTTATTTTAAATTTAAATGTTCAAAAAAAATATAAGTTTATATAGTATATTTTATGTCGCATAACATTTACAAAATAAGTCTTATTACTATTGAATGTTTCACTTCTACTTTTATTATGTGATTTCAACTCAGACTTACTTAAGAAATTAATTAATAGTATACTAGTTTGTACTACTGATACTAAGGTATTATTTTTAAAAGGTCCGTAAACTTGTGGTTATTATTACTTTTTAAAAAGTATCCAATATTTTTTAAGTTTTTCTAGTTTGAATTATCAAAAACTATTTACATTTAATTATCATTGAATACTATTTAAGAAAAATTATGTCTTGTACTTAATTAGTGATGTTTCATATTTTTTCAATTTTTTCAGAAAAATAATTTAACTGAGAAGAGAAAATGACTTATAATTTTTATTATCTTAATTTTGAACCCTGTTAATGAATATTATATACTTTTTTTTATAATCAAGGTTTCAAATGATTTTACATAAAAGAAAAATATATATATATAAATAATATGAATGTATGATGTTTTAATGTACTTCTAAACAAATTTTTCCCTTAAATTACATTTTTTATTTCAATCAGAATTAAAGAATATAAAATTTATAATTTTTTCTTTCGAAAACTTGTTGTTTATTCATTAATATTTTCGAATGTCTGTATAATTTTTAAAGTAAACTCCACCCTTAAACATTAAAATTCATTCCTCTCTTAACATTAGACATAGGCATTAATTTATAGTTATTAAACATATTGTTATTTATTGCAAACATTCATTTAATTAGTATATATTTTAATTTGTATACTCTTCAGAATAAAAGCTTTAGTAGCTTGAGTAGCTTAACTTAAAAATAAATAATTATTTTATAATATGATCATTATATTTTACAATAATTAAACAAGTAATTTATTTTATCAATTTATATTTTTACTGTAAACATTGACAAAATGTCTGAATAAATATAATTTATTGATTTTACTCTATACAAATGAAATATTTATATAAATATTTTCAAATTTTTTATATGGTGAATGTAAATTTAATGTTTTCTATTAGTTATAGATTGATTTATTTCAATGTTATGTTATTATTTAAAGTATTTATCATTACAATTTATTGTTGCACCTTAATTATTATAGTCTAGTCAAAATCTTTCAAATTTTGTGCTTAATTAATATAATATTATGTCCGTATCACTTATACAAGTATTAATACTGTTATTAATTATGTGTACTTAATTTTTAAAGAAAGGATAATATGATTAACCTAGAATATAATTGATTTAATGAAATAAAGTTTGATGTTTGAACTTTTATGGATTCATTTATTTTAACTATTAATATTATAGTACTATATTTTAATTTAGATTAAAAAAAATTAATATTGGCAGTCAACTAAACTAATAATAATTAGTATTTATTATTTATCGACTATATCTGAAAAAAAAAACATGAATTAACAGTATATTATATTTTATACATTGTTAATATATTGTTAATTCATTGAACATATGTTTTTTTATATATAGTTGATAAATAATAATTACTAATTATTAATCATTTGGTTGACTCTTAATATATTTATTTTTTTCTATAATTTTAGTAGATGTAGTGTTACAGGTATATAACTCATAATAATATTTTAAATTTAATGAGCTTAAATATTTAAAAACTTCAATAATTCAAATAAAATATTTTGTTCATTATTAAAATTTAAAGAAATTTGTGATGTAATTAAAAGTAATTTATTAATCATATTTACAGCAGGTAAACAATCAATGTTTAATTATCAAAAAAAAAAGCTAATAATTTAATAAAATATATTTATTAAACAATACTAGATTTATAAATAATCATAGTTCATTCCAGTTCACATCAGCCCATACTGGCATGGGAGTTTCGTAAGTCCAGTCTGGCCCGCTGTACTTTAAAGCGTGTAAGTACATCATAAGGTCTTTTGGTTGTGGATCCTTGTAATTAATTTTACATTCTTGACAGTAAGGATCTATAGAGTCTTTATTCTTATCATATGTCATGTCAGGTAAGTCGATTCCTGTTTGTGTAGTCATATTAATAAACATAGGTTTAGGACTGTGACCAGTGTTTGTTTCCAGTCTAGGTGATTCCAATAACTCTGTATTATTGATATCATTAACAACTTTTGGCAACAACGAAAGATTATTATCTGTCTTCAACCAATTTTCAGCATTATGGGCAATTATAAGATCTTGTACAAGCTGTTCATCAGTTTTGCCAAATTTACCCTTGCGCCCTTTTTCAGGACCAAATATTATGTCATTGTACAATGGGTCATTTTTAATTGGATATCCTAAATACTGTAGATGAACTCTTATTTGATGCATGCGACCCGAATATGGCTTGCACAAAACCACACTCGTATTCATTTTCTCATTGTATCCAATTAATTGAAACGAGGTACGACATTTTTTTCCTTTAGGAGAAACTTTGCACACGCCAATCTTATAACTGACAACTTCAATTGGCTCTTCACATTCTACAGATTCCGGAAATTTCCCTTCAACACGACATACATACTGTTTACTCACCTCTCTTTCACGTATCTGTGCCTCTAATTTTCTAGCAAGGTTTTGTGTTCTTCCAAACATTAACACACCACTAGTCAACCTATCAAGACGATGAATAGTTTTCAAGTCTTTTAAATTGTATTCTTTCGCCAACAAAAATATGATTGTATTATGCCTGTAACGTCCACATGGATGTACAGGAATACTTGCAGGTTTGTTGACAACTACAATATCTTTATCAATATGAAGTATATCAATTGTACCATACACAACGGGCACTTCATGTCTATGAACTACATTTGCCAATAAATCATTGTGTTTCAGTACATAGTCAGGAGTGACACGTTCATTGTTTATAGTTAAAGATCCTTTTTGAATATGATGCTTATACTCATCAGAAGTATGAGCTCGGAATTCTTTACCAAATACTTCTAATAAAGTTTTTCCTACCCATCTCCCTTTGGTATAAGTAGTGAATGTGAAATAATATGGATAAACTTTCCTCAGACCATTATCAAAATAGTAAGACGTTTCATTGAATCTTTCATCCGTAAAGCCTGGACGCAATTGAGCTGGATCTAATTTGAATTTCTTTGGCTTTTCCCTGTACTCCACATACTCCTGGAGTTTGCGTTTATTTTCCAGTACATCTGAGTTTTTGTCATACTCTTCCTCTTTTTCTATGACTAAACAATTTTCAGGATTGCATTGAGATGATTCCAAATCATTGGATAGTGAACACTGCACACCAATATGAGATTTATTATGAATTTGTGTAACAGAATGATGTAAGATATTTTCCATATTCTTTGTTGTTTTAGCAAAATGGCTATTAGTTAGTAAATTAATAAGCTGTTGGACCCACAATCTAGCTTGATACACCATATATAGAATTCTGTGAACAAATTAATAAATTAGACTTCAAACAAATAAAATTATGTATAAAATATTTCATGTAGCCATTAACAAATTTAGTATTTCTATTAAATAAGAGAAAAAAATTAGTTATACTTATAACATTTGTATCTCACATAGGTTGATTAAGGCATGATCGAGAAATATAAAATATTCAATATAAATTGAAGAATTGAGTATGAGTGTATTTTTATGAATGTACCCATAATTCTTGGCATTGATTAATCATAGGTAAAATAAACATTTATTTATGACTAAAAACTTATTTAAAATAATTGAAAATAAATTTAAGTTTAAAATTTGGGTACATATATAATTTATTAATTTTGCAATTTATTATATTTTTTTACTTTATAAATATTATACACATTTTTTAATTTTAAAAGGATCAAAAAATAATTGATAATTATGTAAGTATTATGTACATATCGGCGCCTCAGTTCAAGACTGCAATAACTCAAATTATAAAACTACTCGTTTTAGAATGAAATAAATTACCTCTAGGGGTGAATAATGTAACTAAAAGTAATTGCGTTATAGAATCGAAATTGTCGTAATTTTGCAAATAATATCACGTAAATAACTCAATTTTGAATATTATTGAATTATTGCTGTCTTGTATTGAGGCATTGATATCTCAATAATAGTTTTTTTGAGTTACTGCAGTCTTGAACTGAGCCGACGATATATAATGTTACTTAATTGTTGCAAGATGATTTTTAATGTATTATTTTTTAGTAATTACATTATATAAAACTGAATTAAAATGTAATATTTGATTATTTTATTTAATCATATTTTCTACATTTGTATCATAAATTAAAAATACAATTAAGTATTTATTTTTATTAGTACCTACCATAGATAAAATAGTCATTGCAGAATATTTCAGACAAATCATAAAAAGTTCATACATTTTCTTAATAGTAAAGATAACATCAGTAGTATGATTCAAATTTGAAAATAATGCAATTTTATTGATTTTTTAATACAAAATAACTATTAAAGATTATATATTTATGTATAGATGTGCAAGCAATCGATTAAAAATTTTGTGTATGTAATTATTTAAAATATTTAATTCAAACACTTAAACAACAAATAAGTATAAATTGTTACTTTTAGTTGAGTCGCTATAGTTCAAATACGATAGGGTAAAAGAATCTTAACCAGTTTTTCCGAGAAAATTTGAGCGACTAGGGTTGATTATCGATTTGCTAATAAAACGCACCAGGTGAGATATAAAAATATTCAACGAATCGTTATAACGATAGACAGAAGTTCTCAAAATGCATCGCGGTTGTATATCGAACACACAGTGCAAATAATTGTTTAAGCATTAAATTTTGCATTTAAAAACGCGCGTTAGAGAGAGTCAAACGAACGATGGGAAATCGAATATCAACACGGTCGACCTCAAAATATCGGTCACTTGCCTGAATGGAAATCCCGTCGGGCAGATCTTACTCGGACGCTGGAGTACGACGTACGCGCGTGTAAGTACGTGCGCCAGTGAACAGCGGTCAAGCGGTTGAAAAAGAATCGAAATCCATACGCACCCACCGGCAGGACATAACGTCATCAGACAACGGGCAGTGAGCTCGAGCTAAGCACGGCGCGAGAGGAATGATAACGCATGATAACCGATATCAATGACGGCGCGCGTTTGCCCGTCTGCGTCGTGCCCGCTAACACCTGATACCGAGTGTGCGGTCCACAACACGTACACCGGCGATCTGGTCGTCGGAGACCGATACGCCGCGTAGTTTTTTATGCATTTTTCTGTTTTTTTTTTTTTTTACACTCGTCGACGATGTCGACATTACTTTAAAATGAGTTGCAAGCGCGAAAATGAAAATCGAGCACAACAAAAATTAATGTGAGGATCTACGATTCGGCGGTGTACGCCCTCGTCTTAATCCGAACTCGACTCGACCGCAGAACAACGACGTTATGAAAGGGACGTGTTACAATGCGGGAACGCCACGCAGATCAGACCCTTTGTTGTACTTTTTCGGTGTGATTATCCGTTCGCAATGTTTTTTTTTTTTTTTTCATCCACTTGCATTATCACTATTGAATTACAAAATAAACCCCCCTAACCAACGGTACTAGTCGTTTTTATTAACAAAAAATTAGTGCCTATACTTTTACATTCGTACGTATGTTTTATAAACAATTTAATAAATTATATCGTTATAATTTTCCAGGGATTATCAAATAAGATACAAAGTGGGATTCTTAAATTCGAGAGCAAAGATAAATCTCTTATATTGCATTTGAAAAATAATTCCTAGTAAAGCTCAATTTATCATAATTAATCGGGCGCGTGTACAAATAATAAATCAAATTTAACAAGAGACAAAAGTGTGTACTATGTGCGTAGCCTTGGATTAATATGTCTTGTGTTATTATTTATTAAGATTTTTAATTATGTAGAACTGTATTAATTACGTCATAATTAATTTTTAGAAAAAAATAATTAAAATGTTTAAAAATTAATATAAGTACGTAACACTGACTCTGTGATAAACTATAATGTCATCACTTTAATTTAAAGCTTAAATATAGTTGTCCCATGAACACAGGGATAGGTGAGTATTAAAAAAGTTACGTATACCAATTTTAAACGTTAAAATATACTATTAAACAAATGTTAAAAATATTTTTTTCGAATGAAAAAAAAAGGGGTTAGAAGACTTAACTTGCTTAAATTTAAAATGTGCTAATTTGTTTTTATGCAATAAATTCTTAACTGTAGATATAAAAACTTAATGGGGTAAAATTTAAAATTAGAAGAGACAATTCGCGGTGGCTCAGTAATTTTGAACATTTTCTCTTTTTAGGTAACGAAATTTCGTTAAGAGGTGAATCGAATTGAATACTACGTAAGTGTAAGTGTTACGTTTAGTGTACGTATGTGTAAGTATTATGACCTGTGTATCATTAAATCGATGACGATGGATATACCTTAATAATTAGAATTTATCAACCCAAAAATGACGACTCTACTATAATAAAGTTGGACAAGTTATTGAGTAGATGAAATTTAGAGGTTTTATTATTAGAAATCGATACAGTTAGATGTCTTATTTTTTAAATGCTACAGCATTACGTTTTGTAGAAAATAAAACTCAAATCTGGTGGTTACAATAAATCGAACAAACCACTTGGTGCGCTACAATATCATGAAAAAAACTGTACAACTGAGTAATGTATGTATATATAAAAGTAAAGTATCTAACACTAAAATATGTTTTCTAACAACAAGCATAATATAAGCTGTAAGATACTTTTTAGTAATAATTTGCATTAAACTTGATAAAACAGATTTAAACAATAGAATAGAAAATTGTGATTTTTATCGATAAAAATGTATTAATATCTGGTTGAATGCAATCGATTAAAGCGATGTCTAGTAGTTATGTCAATATATACTTATATTCTAAAATTAATATTTGAAGTCGGGTAATCTAATTTTGGCATACCACTTAACGTTAAAGCGAATTTTTTTTATTAATATAAATATATAATATATTTTATATTCTTTTATTACTCGTAATATTTGTATTCGAATCCGTGTAATCGTAATATAGGTACTCGCATATTTATGAATAATATAAATAGTAATTTTTACTTTAAGAAATATAATTTATAATAAAAACATAACTAATCTTAATCTAAGGCTAAATATACACATTTGTTTTTTCAAATTCATTTTTTTACCGTACATCCTATGAATAATAGGAAATTGAACATTACTCAGAATTATTTGTGTAATGCGATGTATGATATTTATTTTTTACTTCAAATTGAATGATTCAACTTCTGTATATCATTAATACCAAAGCTATCTATAATAAAACCTGCAAACAGTTAAAATTTGACTGGACTAGACATTTTTTTTTTTTAAGAAAACAATAAAATAGATTAGTTATACATTTTTTAAATATTTGGGAATCATACAATTTTAGTTTTGCATGTTCTAAATATGTCTATTCAAAAGGACATTCATTCGTTAAATTTTTCCCAACTGTTATTCTAATTATTATTTTCATTATGACTTAGTCGCATACCACTGCCTATTAAAATAGATCCACACTGTATAATTTTGTCATCTTAATGTTAATTTCGCATGCAACAAACGCTGCGGATAATTAAACCAGCGTATAATAATACGCGTTACCCGCGCAGAGCCCGATATTTATATAATGAACATATCCATTATAGTATGTAGACGGAAATGAAATGCCCGTTAATGATTCGTAACAATATATAGTTTAAATTTCATTAATCGTCACTGATGGTCGAATCTTGACTTTTTTGATGTTAAAATATTTACTAACACACGATGTTATTATTCGAATAATATTTTCATATCATAACCCGAAAATCTATTTAGTATTTATATTAAGTATTTCGATCAATATACTCGAATGTTACTGAAAATGATGATAATCGATTATGTCTTCAATGATAAATCAATATTCAATAACAATTATGTCTGATTTAACAAGGAATTCTTATTTATTTGTCTATTTATCCTCATTCTATGACGCCCACCGGTCTTTCATAAACCTGTGGATCTATAATTGAATTATACATTTCGAAAAGGGCTCATCTCGAGTTCTTATCAATATAGGCTGATAATTTTTTTTTTCAACTACACATATAGACCGATATTTTATAGGGCGATACCCGTTTGCGTACATTTAAACTATTTGCAACTCGTTTGCGTACAATGTACAACTCAATTGCGCACACAAATTTTTAACACCTGCGATAAATGACCCAAACTTAGGACTCGTTTGCGTATATTAACTATAGCAAAAGTTTTTACACTGTCCATTTTAAATTGATACGTCTAAACAATAGATCATCTGATTTTAAAATACAGAACTCTCTATACTTATAGTCTTTAATATTAAAACATCGTTTTCTTCTGCGCGTTTCAAAAATACTTGATACTCGAATATCCATAGTACTAAACGAAATAAAATGACTATAACATTGGCAACTCGTGTCTCGATAGCATCACACGTTCAACTGAACAATAGGCATATAGTAAAAGTACGTTTTTCTAGGAGTGCGTTTTTTGCGTCGTGTATGACGTAATATATTTAACGTAGTACGTTACCTAGTTGTTCTTTTGAAATGGAAACACTGTTTCCAAATTATTTAAGTTAAGATAAGTTAAAATAGATAAATGTAAGGTAAGTTAAAAGTTATTTTTCTTTATAGTTCACTTATAAAAGTTACAAGTTAATTAGAAAAAAAAATAACATAACTTAGTTCAAAATAAGTTACTTTTTTTTTTTACATAAAATTAATAACGACTAACCAGTGGCGTAGCCAGGATTTTTAAATGGGGGGGGGAGGCTAACCACTTTTTTGGATAAGTAAGGTAAAAGAGGATATGAGAATTCATCCTTAACCCCCCCCCATCTACCACCAAGTTTCTAAACTTAATTCAAGCATTTTGGTATAGTTTTAAAAATATTTATTAATATATAATTTATAATAATAATAATAATAATTTTGGTTTTAGTGTTCAGTCACTTGCTCCACTCTGACAGCTGCATCCTCTTAGGCGAATTTCTGGCAAATTCAGTTATTATTTCATTTTCATCAATTGCTCTTTTTTTATTTATATAAGCCATAGCTAACCCATTCAGTCTGTTTTCTGATATAGTGCTTCTTAAAAAAAATTTTAAGCGATTAAGTGCTGAAAACGTTCTTTCCGGAGTGAAAGAGGTAACTGGTAACGTGTCGAATAATTGTAAAAGTATTTTAATGTTAGGTCGAAGATTGGTGCGATGAGAGAGTGAATCAAGAGCAGAATTCGGTTTTGGAATAGTATTTTGACTCTATTGTTGCCTCCATATGAACAGGTCAGCTCTGATTGTAGATGAAGTATCATCATGGAGATCTTGGACATATATTTTAGCAGCTTTTATAATATTTTTATCGTCATACATATTTAAATTGGCCGGAATAAGTCCTTCAAATGGCATAACATCAATAAGCCTTTGATTAAAACGAGTATCCATTGATTCTATTAAATAGCCAAGATACATTATACATATAAACACGGCCCATGGGGGGGGGGATAGCCCCCCCTTCCCCCCCCCCTCTTGGCTACGCCTCTGCGACTAAACTTTTGTTAAGCGTAACAAATACCATATTATAATATAAGTTTTACTATTTACAATAAATGTTTGTTATTGTATTAATTTTTGTGTGTATTTTCATACTAACATCAATTATGAAATCAAACAAAATAGTTAAATTATTATAATGTATTTTTTTACCTACAAGTTTTCAGCTATTGCTATATAACCTTTTTTTTTTTTTTTTAATTTTTCTTTAATAATTAAAAGCACTTTAAAAGCTTAAAATAATGTGTATTAGCAAATAGAAAAAACAGTGAAGTTTTCTGAAAGTTATATTTCATTGTTTTTTCTAATATGATTAATCCAATTTGTTTTAATACTTGAATTCCTTTATTTTTGCGGTACACTTAAGAATAAATTTAAATTTTGTAGTAGACGTTTTGTAACCTTGTATATTTGATAAACCATAATCTAGTTTCTACTGTAATACAAAAATTAATTAATAGGATT